GTGTAACAGTAGGATCTATGTCCTTTTGGTCCCCACTGCTATTTCTCCTTTCTTTACCTCCCCATCTCCCACAGATCCTCTTTGGCCTGTGCTATTTTGAGTCTGTGCCACATTATTTATCACTCTCTTTCCCAACAAAGCAATGTTCTCTGTACAAGTTACCTATAAAACAGGGAAAATTTCAAACACAGATACTATTGAAGACCACTCAAAGTTGCTGACCAGCACCTCCAACATTCTGGCCCAGGAATTTGTTTTCTTAAAACACCCACCAGGGCTGGGGATATGGCTTAGTGGTAGATTTCTTACCTAACATGTATGAGGCCCTGGGTTCAATCCCTAGCATCACAAGAAACAGCAACAAAACTCCCTAGCCGATCCTTCTGGTGTAATTAATACATAAATATTGTAATCCATTCAACTATGTAATCACAAACACAATCTTACATTGTCAGAACCTGGGTAATTGAAAGTAATTGCATTAGAAACATATGTCCATTTTACAAGTGTGTGTTCCAAAAATCATCATCTAGCTCTGAGACAGGATCTTGCTAAGTTGCTTAGGCCCTCATTGGTTGCTAAGGCTGGCTTTGAACTTCCAATTTCTCCTGGGATTATAGGCATGCATCACCACACTGGCCTATGGACAGACTTTCCAGGGTCAAATAGGGATGGCTATCACTCAGGTCTTTGAATCTGAAACATATATGATGTAAAGCAAAAAGAAAATCTTGACATATCTCTCTCTTTTTTTTAAATTTTTTATTGTTGGCTGTTCAAAACATTACATAGTTCTTGATATATCATATTTCACACTTTGATTCAAGTGAGTTATGAGCTCCCATTTTTACCCCATATACAGATTGCAGAATCACATCAGTTACACATCCATTGATTTACATATTGCCATACTAGTGTCTGTTGTGTTTTGCTGCCTTTCCTATCCTCTACTATCCCCCCTCCCCTCCCCTCCCCTCCCCTCTTCTCTTCTCTCTCTGCCCCCTCTACTGACATTCATTTGTCCCCCTTGTATTATTTTTCCCTTTCCCCTCACTTCCTCTTGTATGTACTTTTGTATAACTCTGAGGGTCTCCTTCCATTTCCATGCAATTTCCCTTCTCTCTCCCTTTCCCTCCCACCTCTCATCCCTGTTTAATGTTAATCTTCTTCTCATGCTCTTCGACCCTACTCTGTTCTTAGTTACTCTCCTTATATCAAAGAAGACATTTGGCATTTGTTTTTTAGGGATTGGCTAGCTTCACTTAGCATAATCTGCTCTAATGCCATCCATTTCCCTGTAAATTCTATGATTTTGTCATTTTTTAATGCAGAGTAATACTCCATTGTGTATAAATGCCACATTTTTTTTATCCATTCATCCATTGAAGGGCATCTAGGTTGGTTCCACAGTCTAGCTATTGTGAATTGTGCTGCTATGAACATCGATGTAGCAGTGTCCCTGTAGCATGCTCTTTTTAGGTCTTTAGGGAATAGACCAAGAAGGGGAATAGCTGGGTCAAATGGTGGCTCCATTCCCAGCTTTCCAAGAAATCTCCATACTGCTTTCCAAATTGGCTGCACCAATTTGCAGTCCCACCAGCAATGTACAAGTGTACCCTTTTCCCCACATCCTCGCCAGCACTTGTTGTTGTTTGACTTCATAATGGCTGCCAATCTTACTGGAGTGAGATGGTATCTTAGGGTGGTTTTGATTTGCATTTCTCTGACTGCTAGAGATGGTGAGCATTTTTTCATGTACTTGTTGATTGATTGTATGTCCTCCTCTGAGAAGTGTCTGTTCAGGTCCTTGGCCCATTTGTTGATTGGGTTGTTTGTTCTCTTATTGTCTAATTTTTTGAGTTCTTTGTATACTCTGGATATTAGGGCTCTATCTGAAGTGTGAGGAGTAAAGATTTGTTCCCAGGATGTAGGCTCTCTATTTACCTCTCTTATTGTTTCTTTTGCTGAGAAAAAACTTTTTAGTTTGAGTAAGTCCCATTTGTTGATTCTAGTTATTAACTTTTGTGCTATGGGTGTCCTATTGAGGAATTTGGAGCCCGACCCCACAGTATGTAGATCGTAGCCAACTTTTTCTTCTATCAGACGGCGTGTCTCTGATTTGATATCAAGCTCCTTGATCCATTTTGAATTAACTTTTGTGCATGGCGAGAGAAAGGGATTCAGTTTCATTTTGTTGCATATGGATTTCCAGTTTTCCCAGCACCATTTGTTGAAGATTCTATCCTTCCTCCATGACATATCTCTCTTCTCCCATATGCTAGATATATTATTCAATTAAGAATGTGTCTAGAAGGGATTAAGCAGAGTTTTACTCAACAATAAAAAAGAATGAACATATGACATTTTCCACTAAATGGGTGAATGGACTTAGAGATCATTGTGCAAAGTGAAATAAGACAGACTCAGAAAATCTAAAGTCTAATGTTTTCTCTCATATGGAGATGCTAGAGGAAAGTAAGGGAACAAAGGAGGGAGATCAGATCTCAGGAGGATAGAGGGAATATCATTGGAGTACAGGAAGGAGATTGAGGGGGGAGGGAAGATGAATGGAAAAGGAAGGAAATGCAGAATTTTGAGGGCCACAGCCGAGTCGGGATGACGCATGGCATTTTTGCCAGAAGTAGTGGTTGAGAGGCGATGCCAGCAAGCCATTAAGATGATGACTTTTGAGTTCTCTAGGAGTTCCCCTTGAGTTCAGGTTGAGCTCTCCCGGGGATTCCTGAAGAGTTCTCATTGGTTGGGGAAGTGTCGGAGGAGGGATTTCTGGTTGGTGGTTGCTGGAGGAGCCTGGTAGGTGGCATTCGGGAGAGTTCCCGGGAGCATGTGTAGAGTGTGCTGCTGGAGTTCAAAAATAAAGTTTGTTCCTCTTGAGTGGCTCCTGATTTGTGCCCAGCCAGACTGCGGCAAGAATTAATTTGACAGAATTATTCACAGAGAGCGGCTGGGGTTTAGCTCAGTGGTAGAGCACTTGCCTAGCAGGTGTGGGGCCCTGGGTTCTATTCCCAGCACCACATAAAACTACGTAAACAAAATAAAGGTATTGTGTCCATGAACAACTAAAAATATTTTTAAAAAAATTTACAGAAAATTCCACCTCATGGGTATCTATAAAGCACCAATTAAAAAAATAAATAGAAGAAACACCAATGGAGTAGAGGAAGGGGAAGAACCAGGAGGCACTGGGGACTGAAATGGAGTAAATTCAATTCAATTCATGTATTATTATGTCAAAATGAATCCAACTATTATGTGTAACTATAACACACAAAAAACATTTTTAAAAAGAGTGTAAGAGTCTGTAATCCTTTTTATGAGTAAAAAATGAGAATATAACTGTTGACTAAAAAAGCAAGAGGTTTGAGTGACGAGTAGCCCTTGCTGCTCCAAGTAGCATCCAGCAAAAGGAAGGGGTAACAATCAATTTCATTTGGTTTCAGGCACAGAATCAGACTTTCTCTTTAACTCAATTTAGAGAGTTTTGTAAATGATATTCCTTTCTTTAGGCTGAACTATGGTGCCCAGAATTCTCTTTCTAGAATGTTTCGGTTAAGGTAAGTAATGAGAGGTTTTCTCTTGAGAGCTGGTGACTGTTCACATACATACAAGCCTTAGCCTTGCTGAGCTCTTGTGGGAGCCTTGGAACTCATTTCCAGCACCAGCTCCTGCAGAGCAGGGCTTACTTGGCTGAGATTCACAGTGAAAGAGGCCAGATAGTGACACTCTCACCCTGCAAAACCCACAGGGTAATATAGCTCAAAGTGCTCTCCCCAACTTTCACCTGCCTGGATGCTTAACCCTTCCCAGTTGGGCTCCCATTTTCCCACTGCAGATTTTACCTTCATAATGCTTTATTATAAGCTTCATAAATTACACTTTAGCTCCTTACACCCAGAAGCTTTCCTCCCACTATGTGGGTCTCTAGGATTTACATTTTCTAATTCGCTAAATCAGCTGAGCAGGCATTTTCTATGCCTTTGAGAGCTTAGATACACCTGAGGTGTGTGGGGCTAGCCTGCCAGTTTTGTAGCTCATAGACTTTAAATAGAAACCCAGCAGGACTTAACTGTTGAAGCATCTGCCCTCTGGCCCAGCAGGCCCCTTCCTGAGTCAGTGACTTGGAAAGCAAGATCCTGGCTGCAGGAGCCCCTCTTGCTCCTCATCTCACAGCACACTGGGGCACCATCTTAGTGCTCTTTCCCTGCCCCTCCATCGCCTCATCTCCATTACCTCTTCTCCCTCAGAGCTAAGCAGCAGAGCTGCTCACCTGACTCATGGAGCTGCCAAATGCAGAGCAAAGCTCTGTTGTGTCTTCAAATTGCACAACTGGGCAAAATGACCTGTGGATGAAGAACACCTAGAGTCCAGTAAGATTTCTATTGCATATTTTTACAGGAAATGACCTGCAGAGACTTTCCAGGAATTCAGGTTGGCTCTCCCTCCCTGCCCATGACCCCAGAGGGGAAGGCTCAGGATAAATAGCAGCCTTCTCTCCCTGTCCTTCAGCGACCAGCAGATCCACTCCACCAGACATCAGGTGATTGTCAAGTGCAAGGAGTGAGTTTTTAAACCTTTACTCTATTTTCTCTTTCCTATCAGGATGTGATTTTCTTTGAACGGAATGATCCCTTACGTTTTTATTTATTTATTTATCTCATGTGTGGTGTGGATTGGGTTTAGGGGACCCATGCAGAATGCATTATAGCCTCCTCTAGAGTGGCAATCTGGTCCCAACTCCCCTATCCTCTGTTGGAGCCACCATGCTATTCTCTTAGACAGACTTGGATTCAGGGCTGATGGGGTCAGAGTGAAGGCTTTTGGTACCAAGTGAGTTCCTATTGCCAGATTTCCTAGAGGAACTACTAGCACTATAACGAGAACCAGTAGAAATGAAGAACTAGGCTCTCTTAGGATATAAATGTCAAAGGGAAAGGTGCCAGTCTCATCGGTGGCTGATTATGCCTCTCTTTCATTTCAGCACCATGAAGCTTCTCACAGGCCTGGTGTTTTGCTCTTTGGTCCTGGCAGTCAGTGGTGGGGTGTTTTCATTCGTGAGGGAAGCTGCTCAAGGTAAGGGTGGTGGAGAGATGGCTCTAGGGTTTTCTTGGAGCACTCTGAAGGCCTGGAGCCAGTCTTATGTTGTGCTATCTTGTGTGGCAGGATGCCCCAGGTACACTGAGGAGCATTTCTTTAAAGGGACTGAAAAAAGCAGGTGGCAGAGCAGAGGTTGCCAATGAGCTATATATGAAGCCAATTTAGCCCAGTTGATGTGTCTGCTCACCACTTCCTAAAATTCCATTGTCAACAATGTCAGGCACACGTGAAATCATCTGGAGTTTAAACCCTGTGGATGCTTGGATTTTCTTCCTCCTCATATAGTCTGAGGAATTGGGCAGGGTTGTGTTCTGGGTGTCAGGACTTTCAGTATCTCCCCAGGTGATCAAAACAGGCCAACCCAGGTGAGAACCATTACACTAGGGTTTCCTCAAGCAACCACAGCATCAGTGCACTTCACTGAGCTTGCCAGAGGCACTCATGTCACAGTGATGTGCATTTAGGGTACAGAAACACATTTTCCTTGGGAGTCAGGGCAGAAGTGCCTCATGTCTGCAGCCCACTCAGGCTTTCCCCTCCTGGATGCCCCCTCCCTCACTGCAATTTCTAATCACATGGAACTTCATTCTGGAACAGTGGTTCTGGACCCGGTGTAATGTGCTGGCCCAGGGGACATTTTCAATGTGTGGCAATGTCTTTGGTTGTCCCACTGGGCGAATTTGCTGCCAACATCTAGTGGCAGACCAGAGAGCTGGTGAATATCCTACAGGACTCAGGGCAGCCCTGAACAACAGAGAACCACGTGACCCAATTTTTTCAACAGTGCTGAAGGTGAGGAATCCTGTTTGACAATGACACCTCCCTTCTGTCCTTAAACATAGCACATCTAAGTATGGTGAAGCTCACCCCAGCACAGTGGACCACCAAAGACAAACAGGTGTGGCCCCTAACAACTCTCACTAGAGTGACTTGCAGAAGCCAGCTAGGAATAGAGACGATTCCACTCAACCCATGATATCTATGGGTGCAAAAATCACAGGATGAAATTTTGAATATATTAATTCCTGGATCCCCCTTGAAGGTGTTGTCACGATCTTTATGTATACTTGATATCCCTTTTGTCTTTTCTTTTCCAATTCAGGAAGTTGGGACATGTGGAGAGCCTACCAGGACATGAAAGAAGCAAATTTCATAGGTGCAGACAAATACTTCCATGCCCGAGGGAACTATGACGCTGCCCGAAGGGGACCTGGGGGTGCCTGGGCTGCTGAAGTGATCAGGTAAGGCAGGTTCCTGTGGATGCCAGGCCTGGGTGAGCAGAGCTTGACTGCCCTGGGGATCAGGAGGGAATGAGCCTGGCAGCAGTTTTCTGTGAGGCTTGAGTCTTCCTTATGTCCTCTCTGCCTAGCCCTCCACCATGGTCAGTGCAGGGCCTGGGCCATTGACAGAGCCAGAGATGGCTGAGGATATGTGTGCCAACTCAGAACTAGAGAAAGGGAGGGCCACAGAGTGATCCCTAACCCTCCCTCCCTGGTGCTGTTCATCCAGGTTCAGGGTGAAGAGCCAGGCTGAGTAGGGCTGTGCCAGGCAAGGGTGGTATCTCAGCCCCTCTTCCTTGATCTTCCTGGGCTCCCCTCAGTGCCATCCCCTGGACAGCAGAGAATTGGGAGGGTAGTCTGGGGTTTATCAGCCTTCTGAGGAATCTCCTTGCTGTCTTGCTTGATTTCAGTGATGCCAGAGAGAACATTCAGGAATTTTTTGGCCGAGGACATGAGGACTCCCAGGCAGACCAGGAAGCCAACAGAGCGGGCAGGAGAGGAGAAGACCCTAATAAATACAGACCTAAAGGGCTGCCTGGTAAATACTGAGCTTCATCTTCATTTTGTCTCAGGAGACTGACTGTGAGCCCCCAAAGATTGGGATATGAAATCACTGCATCCTCTGTCCACATAAATGGATAGATGGCCCACAGTTGTTGTTCAATAAATGCATAAGAGATGGAAATTCTAGCATGTGGGTGTTATATTTCACATTGAGGGTGGGATGTTTGGTACAAAGTGGTGAACAATAAACACCAGGATGATCCAGCCTGGACCTCAGTGTGTAGGGGATGTGATTTCAGTGGTCACACAACACAGACAGATACTGGCACTGAGGCTTCTCAGAATCAGACTCTCTCACTTGTCCAGGCCCCCGTGGTTAGCTGTTGCTATTTCCAGGCCTTTCCATGTCCTGACCACCTCACTCCTGACAACTGTGTCCTGTCACCTTCTCTGCCCCCAGGGCTTTAGTCCTCAGTGGGTCTGCCTTTGGAGACATGGGGCATGGCTATGGGAAGGCTGGCTCTGTTATCCTGCCCCAGATACCACCATCTTGGTTTTCTGCTTAGTTTTTAGCAACATCTGCAAAGCCAATTATTCACCAATTTCTGTTCATTCTATCCAAGAAATACCTTCAGAGCAGTGTCTCCCACTCTATTTTTATTGCCTTATTTCAAGCCTAAATAAAGATGTAAGTGAACACCATTTGTGGTGTTGTATTTGTGAAGAACAGTCATGATGGAAAAGATCTCCTTATCAGTCAGGTCCTTTAGGAGACAAACCAGGCAGAGATTTGAAAAGGGAAATTTTAATACTAGGAATGCTTAATTATCAACAATAGTTACCACCATGGATAATAAATCAGGAGGGTATAAACTTTGTATGATCCTCCCTAGAGGTAGACATTTGGTTCTCCTAGGCAAATCTATAGCCCATTACATGGAGAGAATGTTTTGTTGGGTGCCATAGTCAAAGCTGAGAAACAGGAACTCTATAGAGATAGCAATGGAACTTGATAGCATGCTGTCCAGGAGCCACTGTGCTCACTGGGAATGTGGGGTGAGGGAGCTATAAACCTGCTCAGAAGCTGTTCTCATGGGAGTAGCAGAAAGCATGCTACTGATCTCTCTGGAAAGCCAGCTGTGGAAGGGATGGATTTCTGGAATGTGTTGTATGCTCTCCACTTCATGTGCTGAAGCCTTTTTCCCAGAGTGGCTTTATTTGGATTTGAACCGATAGTCCTTATGAGTGAAGACAACAAAGAGCCTCTCTCTCTCTGAAACCCACAAGGTCACAGTAAGGAGGTACATGTTTGTAAGCCAGGAAGAGCACAGTCACCAGGTGCTCAATTAGCGTGTACCTTCATCTAGAACATCCTGGTGTTCAGAATTTTGAAAAATAAATATCTGTGTGGAAGCCACCTGTGGTACCTTGTTATGGCAGCTCAGGCTAACAGAAGTGGAGTGTGTTGAACACACTGAAAATCTAATTGAGGTGCCACAGAAATTGTTGAAACAACCACGTCCTTCAGGTTTCACTAAAACTCCCTGGGCTGAGTGTCACTGGGTGTGGCAGGGGAGGATCCTCACAGGAGCCTGGGAAGCCAAAGCAGGGTACCAGGAAGATCTTCATTTCCCCCTATTTCTCCATTGCCCTCTACTGACAGAGATTAGCATCCTGCACAGCTGGCCAGAGTGAGGTGTTTAGAGGGTCCAGCTCCAGGACCACAGACAGTCAAGGAAATGTGGATATGGGGCTCACAGTAAACAAATTGATTACAGGTCTCCATTTTTGCTTTGAAAGTGGAATGAAGGAGGACTCTTAAGGGTAGGAGATTGATGAGAAAGTGAGATTTATAAGCTAAAGTCATTAAATTAGTTGTCAATTTGATTAGTAGGGAAGCTGTTGCTATAGTAAATCCCAAGAGAACTTTCTCATATAGTTCTTATCTGAAAGCACTAGTAGACATGGAGGTAAAGGAGATTTGGGATATTTGA